AAGTTAGAATTTGTGGGGACACAACGAGTGGATGCACCTGTGTCATTGCAAGAGATTTTGAGCCATGTCGTTCAAGGTCCCTAACCATCGGTTACTATCGTCTCACGGGTCCGAACCAGGTAGTCTACACCTACCAACATGACTCAGTCCACTTGTCAGTGACTTCATGGATTTGTTCCATGTTTTCGTATGGCCGCCCCTAGCTTTCGTTCAACCTATTCCAACATCGCAAAACATAGCTCGACGAGGTAAACTATGTATGATAATTCATATTTATGAATTGTATCTCGTTTATTTTAGGTGTAACATCTAAAATCTACAAATCTGTATTAAACAAATTTAATTCCTTAAAACTGACATAGTTGTTCAAAATTCAATAGATATTAAACGAATTTAGTTTAGTTCTTCATTACCATTAATACCTCTACTATCTTTATCACTATGGGATTTGATTTGACATTTGCGTCTCTGTACTAATGTGGTATGGCAACATGAACTTATGTACATACGTACGAAGTTCTACGCTGCAACTGACTGACTGACTGACTTCACAATTATATGTTGTATTTTTTTCTTAGTCTAATGTTATTAACTAATCAAAGTGAATAGATTTCCCCCTAATTATAGAACGGTGGTTTATTTAACTGAATATTTCTATTATATCATCATAACAATAAACAGGTATTAGTAAAAATATTTCTACAGCTTACTGCTTGAGTATTGATTTTCTTGTTGAAATTAATTCCAATGACATGACAAGATATTCAAGGAAAGCTAACTTTTGATTTAACAAAACATATTATTATTTGATGTTTTCTGATGTAATTAAGTAGTAGTTATGAACTTAAGAAGCGTTTACAATGCTCATCAGACCTTTGTATCATTCATAGTTGATTACTTATTCTTGGTTAACCAACATACCTGCAACAAATGTATGCATGCTGATTTTACACAACACAAGAGTTCTCACAGTTTATTAGTACACATGATTTCCCTCGCCCAAGGGTACGTACATGTTGTGTAGTTACTCCCGCAAGTCTGTCGGCCATCTTGTCAGTTGCAGCATGACTAGGCACCCTTCACAAGTCCTTATGAACCAACTCGATTCCTCCAACCAATCCACAACCTGATTTACCCAATCGGCCAAGGCAGCAAAACGGGTAAATCCAGGTAGAAATGGCATCTCGTACGGATTACTGAGCCGCCCAAGCCATGCATTAACCAGCAGTCATAGCAACCACAGACCTCCGGCTTCCCCACGCATCGGACACGTTGACCGAGTTTCTCTAGACCCACATCAGCCAAGGATCAACGGTCCCGCAAGGTTAGCTAGAATGTACATGTTCCGATGGCGTTTACCTCACGTACTCGACCGAGCGCAAGCATTCAGCCAAGCTGGGTTTTCCCACCACATAAGGATGGGCGGATATCAGATACGATCGACCGACAATGAGCTCAAGACCCCAACAGCCCAACTGAAGACTCTTTTTTGGGGCCTCAACATCAGTTGATACACTGCACTAAGGCATAGATTGTTCTAGGAACTGCATAGGGTTGGTCGTCACATAGTCCAGGATCTGTACATCTACTTCCTTGAATATAGTCCAAGGCCACCTTGAGGAAGCTGGAGACAATCCATTTACAGTACTTGCTACAATATACCCACCACTAGGCCCAGAATTGTAAGGGAAATGATGGTAGGGAAGTCCTCAACTCCTTATGTCAAATGGATGTGAGCATCAATGCTTCACAGTGTATGCTGCCTGAGCACTACGTCTTCCGGACAGGATATGAAGTCGTCTATAGACGCTCATAATACAAATATCGTGTCGACCACTGTACCGGAGCACGGTTTATGGTCATCGCTATGGCATAACACCAGACCTGATAGGCCTAGACGAACCCGGTTCAGACACCAATAGAAATACGTAAGCTTTTCACAACCACGTTTCGAATACATTGTACTTTCACTGTATGGACTGGAGTCAGACTTGTAGGTGTTTGGTCTGAATTCCTCGAATTGACAGCTTTGTATCCACAGCTTCATGACTGCCGATACGTGCTTTCATTCTGGACCTGCCTTTCCATACGTACTGATCATAGTATCCATAGCAAACGGACATACAACATCTGGCCATAGCGCCATAAACAACGAAACCTTTCTACCAGGACCACGAAGAGATAGTCACCAACACGACTCCCAGAATGCTCCACTTATGCCATGTACTCGTCAAATAAATAACGAAGCATTTGGCTACCTTAAGAGACTCATAGTTACTCCCTTTGTGTCATTCATTGTTTATAACTTACTTAATTACTTTATTGACGCCTGTTACCTACAATGACCAATTTAGAATAATTAGAGTGTATTGGATACATGAACCAATGCACATACACACTAGGATCCAAAATGCAAATAACTGACTGATTAATGCTAAATTCAGTGATTTATTTATGCAAATACAAATCGATTGTCATGTGACTACTAAAAGTCACATGAAAATCGAAGTAGGGCTCACCACTTTAATGGCCCATAATGTGACTACATTATTTACAAACGAATATATATATGTACTATAAAATAAATATTCCTTTCCATTTCTGTACATCATACTTAAGCGAACCCCATTTGTGACAAAACGATAATAAGATAAATTTATTTCATTCACTGATTTAGGCAAACACACATGAGAATAAAAAGTGTACAGGTATAGCAAAACGAAGTGGCGGTGACTGGACGAACTTGATGTGATGAAACATATCTAAGTATTTATAGTGACATGAGAGTTTACAATGCATATATACACACTGAAGGGAAAAAACTAAGATATAGGCGGAATAATTGACAAGGTCGAAAGATGTATGAATAGTAATTCAAGATGATTGGATTAATTAATTTGTCCAAAGAATTGGGACAAACCATGTGGGCTCGACATAGTTGTGTATCACCACTACACTCCTTGATAAAATAATAAATCGAGTTCTCTAAACAATTTTATATATGTACCAATAATTGCTAAAATCCGTAAGAAATAAATCTCTTAAAGCGAATTAAATTAGCGTTAAAAATAGAATTGATACTTTGGTGCGCGCTACTTATAAGTAGTATATGACGCGAGTGAAAACGTAATGTCTGGCAGCAGAAGATGGGTGAAGATTAAGAAAGGAAGAGTGGGAACACAATGGAATTTGTATGAAACGCATGAATAGTGAAATGTCAGACAATGGATTGATGATGGATTGAATATTTGCAAATTAACCGTTTACGATATGATTTTCCTATTTTACTGAGTAACTCTGTAATTTGTGATAAATACAATTCAGTTGCCCTCACCTGTGTTCTCCTTCACTACAATGTTTCATGTCTCATTGAATACAAACCATATCATTTCCATTTGACTAAAGTAATCGTTACAAAATCATTTATTAAACCAATCTATAGAGTAATCATCAATTTAACTGGGACGTCTAAGGATCCCACAAACACATTTGACAATTTAAGACTATTTATCAAATATGATAGAGCTTTTGTAGTGAATGAGGACACAGGTGGGGCAACCGGATTATATTGAACGAAAATTACATAGTTACTCAGTAAAATAGGAAAACCATATCGTAAATCGTTAATTTGCAAAATATCAGTTCATCATATCGAACTGAACTGTTCCTGTTGCAAAATATCAATCCATTGTCATTATTCATGCGTTTCATATAAATTCCATTGTTTTCTAACTCTTCCTTTCTTGATCTTTCCCCCATCTTCTGCTGCCAGACATTATGTTGACACTCGCGTCATATACTACTTATAAGTATCTCGCACCACACTTTCAACTGAGACGATCTACTAAATGTTTGAAAGATAAAGATTGAAATTAGAAAAGTGTGGAAATAGAATAGAGCAAAGATATAACCTTTGGATGTCGGCTTAAGGTTAAACGTTCATTCATGAAACCAAGAATCCTAGGTATGATTCCCGTTTGAGTGGTCCTGAATTCACACTTTCGAAGAATGGCCCCCACATTAGGATGAAACGGTCGTCCAGTAGTACTTATAGGTTTTTAATGGCGGTCTAACTTAGATCTGTTCATGATTTCAACATCATGTTAAAATCCTTAATCACAATAACATATTGTTTATCGAATTACTAATAAAGTAATTCATTTGAAAGTTTACATTAGACAAAAGAGATTAGGAAAGAAGAAATATAATCCATGCATAATACACATTTTGAATGGAGAACAGAAGGTATTTTCTTCTTATTTCACACTGCTAATTACTAGTCACAACAACAAAAACGATTTGTTCTTTAACAAGTTTTTTTTTACTATGATTCAAAAGGAGCTAAAATTACATTTTGAAATTATTACATATGAAATATTGAAAGTTTTTCTTGACTTTGATCGACTCGGTTTATGACTTTCTGTAAAAACAAAACAATGCCATTTCATTTGGTTTTTCACGTTACAACTTTTCAAATCAACAAGAAAGCACACCGGCTTATGAAAGCAATAACGTAATTCCGGAAATAACACAACACGATGAAAGCCGACGTGGATGCAAAAATATTTCACATTCTCTTCAACAAGATTTGGAATGAAGAACAAGTACCAACAGACTAGAAAGAAGGATACCTCATCAAAATACCAAAGAAAGGCGATCTCAGCAAGTGTCAGAACTAAAGAGGCATCACTCTTCTCTCAATACCAGGCAAACTCTTCAACAGGGTGTTGCTAAACAGAATAAAAGACTTCGTAGACGCCCAACGTCGAGATCCACAAGCTGGATTTCGTGAGTATCGATCGTGTACTGACCAAATCGCAACATTACCGATCATTGTGAAACAATCAATTGAATGGAACTCACCACTCTATATCAACTTCATCGACTACGAGAAAGCATTCGATAGCGTGGATAGTAAAACACTATGGCGTGCCTGAGAAGATACGTAACATCATATGGAATTCTTATGATGGATTCAACTGCAAAATTGTGCACGGAGGACAGCTAACAGACTCTTTCGAGGTGAAGACCGATGTCAGACAAGGTTGCTTACACTCACCCTTTCTCTTTCTCCTGGTCATCGACTGGATTATGAAGACGGAGGGAAGCACGGTATCTAATGAACAGCTATGATGCAGCTGGACGATTTGGACTTCGCAGATGACCTGACTCTTCTGTCACACACGCAACAACAAATGCAAGAGAAGACAACCAGTGTAGCAGCAACCTCAGCAACAGCAGCAACAGGTCTCAACACACATAAAGGAAAAAGCTAAATTCTCCGACACATCACAATACGCGCCAACCAAATCAAACTTGATGGAGATCCTTTGGATGTCGTTAACACCTTTATATATCTGGACAGCATCATCGGCAATAAATGTGGATCCGATGCAGATATGAGGGCGCGGATCGGCAAAGCAAGGACAGCATTTCTACAGTTGAAAAATATCTGGAACTCCAAACAAATATCAATCAACACCAAAATCAGGATTTTCAATACAAATGTCAAGACGGTTCGACTGTATGGAGCGGAAACTTGGAGAACTACCAGAGCCATCGTCCACAAGATACAACTGTTTATTAACCGTTGTCTACGCAAAAAACTTCGGATTCGTTGGCCAGACACCATCAGCAACAACTTACTTTGGGAGATAACAAACCAGATTCCAGTGGAGGGAGAAATCAGGAAGAAACGGTGGAAGTGGATAGGACACACATTATGAAAAGCACCTAACTGAGTCACGAGACAAGCCCTCACATGGAACCCTGAAGGCAAAAGGAAAAGAGGAAGGCCAAAGAACACATTACACCGAGCATTACAGAAAGATATGAGAAAAATGAACAAAAATTGGGCAGAATTGGAAAGGGAAGTCCAGGACAGATTTGGTTGGAGGACACTGGTCGTCGGCCTATGCACCATTGGGGGTAACAGGTTTTGTTAGCGTTTTTTTTTGGCAAGTTAGTTTTTGACGGAATGGGGTCGTCAACCCCATGTCCAACCCTCCTCCTTTACCCGGACTTGGGACCGGCAGTTGCCCCGAAGCTTATGCTGGCGGAGTTAGGGGGGGGGGTGACAGAGGTGTAAGTAAGTAATTAAGTATTATCGTACCTTATTTAAACTTTTAATCATCCCTTTTTATTATTTTTTATTACTCTCTTTATATATTCACAGGGATTACTTGGACGTTTTCAATCATCATCATTTACACCAGATATTAATGGTATTATTTTAGCAGCACATCGTGATAATTATGTGATATTAAAATTATTACTTGATCGTGGTGAACGAATTTGCAAACCACATGATTTACGTTGTGCATGTCATATATGTACACAATCAAGACGTGAAAATGGTTTACAACATTCTAAATTACGTATTAATACATATCGTGCATTAACAAGTCCATCATTTATTTTATTAACTAGTAATGATCCAATTTTAACAGCATTTGAATTAAGTTGTGAATTAAAAAAGTTAGGTGAACTTGAAAATGAATTTAGAGTAAGTTTTCTTTTTTTTTTATGATTCATTTTTTTTCTGTTTGTTTTTTTTTATTTGTTACAATGTTTGATTTGAATAATACAGTTGGAGATGGATTCTAAAGATCCTCGTATACTAAATGAAACTGATCAGTTAAAGACTTTAACGTTAACAGTGTACAAATAGAAGCCATAAAAAACATAATCAAAGCTAATAGAGTTCAACAGAGTTCTTCAGTAGTTCTCATCAATTATATTTGTGGAATTTCATTTGTTATAAAAAAAGTAGTAGTTGTGAGTAGGTATGATTATTTAGTTTAAAAAAACCTGGGTTATTACTTACTGACTTACACCTGTTACCCCCAATGGAATATAAGCCTCCGATCAGTATTCTCCAACCTATTCCGTCCTGGATCTTTCTTTCCAGTTTTACGCAATCGCTCTTCATTTTTCTCACGTCTGCTTCTGATTCTCAGCGTCATATATTCCTTAGTCTTCTTTAATTCCTTCGGCCTTGAGGTTTCCAAGTTCGGTTTGCCTTGTGAGGCAGTTGGGTGATTTCTTCAATGTTTATCCTATCCACCTCCAGCATCTTCACCTAATTTCTTCTTCAACTGGAATCTAGTTTGTTCTCTTCCACAATAAGTTGTTGCTAAATGTGACTTGTCAACGGATCTTCAGTATCTTGTGTAGACAACGGTTAATAAAAACACCTGTATCTTTTGAATGATGTCTTTCGTAGTTCTCCAAGTTTCTGTTCCATACAGTAAAACTGTTTTGACGTCTACATTAAAAATTGTGACTTTTTCTACATATACAACTTGTCAAGTTATAAAAGTATAATCAAAATCTTACATGAATTAGAATGATGATTTCCACTTTTTGGTACATTTATATGACTTAATCATAGCGAAATTATAAGGCTTGGTCATATTTTGGTCTCCAAATCGAAATACATTTTTTTCATTTAATGTATTTTGTTGTTACACATTTCAGTTGGCTCTTTGTGCGGCCAAAACAAATTGTATGCCAAATTTGATAACTGAATATGACAGAAGTGTACACTTTTTATGTTTAAGCCTATTGTAGGATCCAAACCGAGGTTTAGACTGAGAAATAACTGTCTAGGTAGGTTAGATACGCGTGTTGCTCAGTCGAAATCAAAACATGTGATTTGGGTAAATGACGGTTCTAATATTCATCGTAAATGTAAATTTACATCATTACCTAAACAAATATTACCACTCAGTTATTCCACCAACAATTGTTCAATTAATCAAATCAATAGCAACAAATAAATGATATTCTATCCCTCCTGGGTAGATCAGACTTCTTTCAAAAGATAATATTTGGTTGCTTTATCACACAGAGTGTTTCCTATTCTGGAAGAGTGCTTCAATTTACAATCAAAATGCACAGTTTCAGACAACGCAAGCAATCCAGTCAAAAGAGGAGCAAATCACTGTGGCTGTCGTCATGACTAAGTATCAGCTTAAACAACATAAATGCATTTCAGTTCAGGACGAAACACAGAAACGCAGTGAAAGCAGAAGAAGTATAAACTATAATAAAATACAAATATTATCATCTCAAAATGGAATTGAACAGATTAACAAAATGTACAACTGAAGGAATCAATAAGGACAAATTATAAATGTATACATGGAGGGATTTTCACAAACAAACCCTTCAAAATGCATCGTACACTATCTCACAATTTTTTGATAACAATCTATTTTCTACAAATTTCATAATAATGCAGAGAGGATTCTCCAAATGAAACTTGTCAAGTGATTGACGTAGGATGCTGATTTAAAATGAAAAAGACAAAGGCGATGAGGAATTCAAAAGATTAGAATTTGAAATAAAACAAAGAATGAATGCATCTGCGCCATTGGAAACGACTTTGAATCATGTCACATAAAGTCTGGAAGAATCGGTTACAACTGTCTCACTGATCCCAACCTGATAGTCTACCTACTTGAGCATTAAAATCACCCATCACTATTACTACATCAGAAGTTATAGAATTCTCAGTAAAATCCATCAACTGGGATTCAGTCTAAGGAAGCCAGTTCTACTTTAGAACTTGACTCTGTAAATACACCAGTGAGACTACGGGATGTAGCAGTGGGGCTTCCAGATACACAAAGACTAAATGGAGTTGGTTCTTTATTTTGACATGGTGAGATCAAATTAATGATTCTATTCAAATCTTGTATGCATGTTTCGGAGATGCAGCATACATTGATAACACATCAATCTTACATGAATTAGAATGATGATTTCCACTTTTCGGTACATTTATATGACTTAATCATAGTGAAATTATAAGACTTGGTCATATTTTGGTCTCCAAATCGAAATACATTTTTTCATTTAATGTATTTTGATGTTACACATTTTATTACATTACGGGGTTGTGAAGATTGTCAAGTTTATACATTTAAGATCATGAATCGATCAATTTAAGTCGACCATTAGAAACTTGGAATTACTGAACGGGCATTTCGTTCTTATATAGGACTCATCAGCAGTGCGCATCCATGACTTCTGCACCTCGCAGAATTCGAACCCAGGACCTCCGGTCTTTTGCCATTTATTATTATTAAAGCTCCTCTTTTTATAGTCGATTTCAAATTGTTTACCGAATTTGATTAGTTTAACATGATCGATAATCAAAGAGATTGAAAAAACAGATCACATGATAACACCTGGACTTAATTTTTTTTTAAAAATAAACTCTCTTATTTGCTTTAATTTTGATTGGTTTAGAATTTTTTTTTAACATTTCATTGTTGTATTTAGAGATAGGATTTTTTTTAAAAAAAAACTAGAATTCCCGTGATTTCGATTCGGCAGTTTCCAGCTGTGTGCTACTAGGTCTATGATACTAAAATCGAATAAAAATGTCAATAGTCAATGCGATAAACTAAGTTGATAATAGGTGTTCATTTCCCTTTTAATTTTTTTGAAAAAACAGCCGGTTTATTTGGAGAGATGACCTTTTTTGAAAGGAGAACTAGAAATGTATCAAATAACTCAAAAAAGAAATGATTCCTAATCAAAGTGTACATATCAAACTCACTTGATTTGAATTGAAGTTTATAGAAAAAGGAAAAAGTTTTAAAATCTGCAGCGTTCTAGTTTCAAATACAGACTGGATCATAATCGTCAGTCAGTCAGTTAACTACAACATAGGACTTCATACATAAGTACATCAGTTCAGGTTACCATATCACATTAGCACAGAAAGATGGAATCAGCAATTCAAATCCTATAGTAGTAGAAGTATTAGCAATAATGGGAAAGATTCGAGAAGTACAAACAAGTGAAATGGATTTAAAACGAGAAAGATATGGGTGATTAGGAATTCAGAAGAATAGAATTTGAGAAAAAACAAAAAATGAATGCATCTGTGCCGTCACAAACTATTTTGAGTCATTTCATTCAAAGTCTGTAAGAATCGGTTACGACTGTTTCACAGACCCCAACCTGATAGTCTACCTACTTGAGCATTAAAGACACCTATCACTATTACTACTTTTTTTTGAAGGTTGGAGAACTTTCTGTACAATTCATCAACTGGAATCCAGTCTAGCAATGTCAGTTCTACTTTGGGACCCGACTCTGTACATAAACCGGTGAGGCTACGGGAAGTAGCAGTAGGGGTCCAGATACATGAAGAGTAAATGGAGTTGATTCTTTATTTTGACATGATGAGATTAAATTAATGATTCTACTCGGATACACATTCAAGAGACGCAGCATACATCAATAGCGCAAGATTCTAAAGTCCTAGCTATGGCATAGGGTTTCGAACATTAAAAGCTCCAATATGTAGTTTAGAGCGTGGCTTCTAGGGCAAGGAGGAAAGGATTCGAGTACTCGAATTGTTTTAATCAGAGGAGCCAGGTGATAAAGGAATGTGAGAAGGGTTAGTGGAGGAGATATAAAAGTTTTGTAGAGGTGTAGGAAGGATTTAGTTTCGATCAATTTGGTCTCGTGTGCTGTTACGGGTATGAGGGTGGTTGTCACTTCCCGGCTGCCCACACCGTGGAAGGTTGTTTCTTGAGGAATCTGAAAATGAAGGTAGATTAGTGTTGGTCTTGACGACCTGGGAGCGTGACCGCAGAGCCCAAGGGACAACTACTTGAGGCCGGTCACACAAGGCCTTTTTATGGGAAGTTTGTGAAGTATTAGCTCGCTATTCAAATGGCTTTACCGCCGGAGACGGAAATCCGTGATTTAAGGTGAGGTGTGACATTTTTAGGGTCGACCTTTTCTGGAATGTCTATGTGATATGCAGTGATTAGATAGTTTTGTTAGTCAGTCAATCAGATGCAATATTAAACTAGGTACTTACGTAAATTAATACCATACCACAGTGTGTAACATCGCTTTTTTCGGACTGGACGTTTATAAGGATGTTTTCAGTCTAAACAAAAACATTAATAATACACTTTGTTTCACTGCGCATTTTGACACTTTCTGAAGCAGACACTTATTCTGTTTCTTTCTGCCTCTTAATTTGCGACCTGGGGATGGGGCGGTTCTGCTCTTTCTAGTGCTAGAGGTGATAGATTCCATATTAGCCATATTAAGTAAAAAGACTTAAAAAGTACATGAAACAAGACAGCATGGTATTGATTTCTCCTAGATGACTGATCAGTGTATTCATTTTCACATAATACAGATGACTGAACTAGTTTCTACACTGCTCCTGAAGCTCATAAATTCAACTATTACTACAAACAAGCATATCAGTTTTTTAGTGAATTTAAAATAAGATAGAGGTTATGTAAGCAGATCACGTTAGCAAGATATCCTGAGCTTAGGTTTCGATCTAGATGTGATTCATCAGTGAGGTGTACCTGGGGCATGTAGAGGAACTGGTATTCCATGTTGGATTCGAATCTACATTTCCTAGGTTCCACAAACTGAGACATTACCACTAAGTTACTCGGACCAGTGTATGGTGCACGTGGTATCAAACCACTTAGAATAGTGGTCATGATTGAAAATATTTGATTAGGACTAATAAGAACTAGGCAAACATAATTTTACTCTTTACTTAATGATTAATTGGTCGTACAAATTACACTGGAAGTTCAAGTATGCAACTGTGTCTATACAATTAGGGATACCGATCTGTTAAAGGGAAATACATCGGTAGAATATTCAAGTATGGGCTAAAGTCAACTGACTAAGTTTGTAATATCACTAAATTATCATGAGTAATTAAAGATTGTGATAGTCAAGTTTGAAAACATTTTGTTTGAACCTTGGATATTAAATTTATGATTAATCAAACAGAATACTTCATAGTTATAACAAAAGAAAACAAACATTTCAGGATAACCATAAAGTTATATTTCAAAAGTATATTATGCTTAGTAAAATACCATCTCTTTAACCTCTGAAAGGTATCAAATTCATACTACCGAAAAATTCGACAGAAAAAACACTCGTTAACTCATTAACATAGTTGATTATAATAAGCCAATCAGAAGTGGTCAAATCAGAAGGTCATTTGATGGTCATCAAAACTACCTTAAAGGACAAATGCATATCATTGGTTAAGAAGTGAACTTTTTTAGGGCGGAGGCAGTATATTTATGAATAATCGAGTGTACATATATATTATTCGGTAGCCAAACAAAACTTTCCTTTCTGCCTATACTTCCTCGCTCAAGTGGTCGGTTTAGAGGATTAACATGTAAGGCAACCAGGTCCTTACTTACTTAATTACTTACGCCTGTTATCCCAAATGGAGCAAAGACCTCCCACAAGTTTTCTCCAACCAACTCTGTCCTAGGCTTCCCTTTACAGTTCTGTCCAATTTTTGATCATTGCTCTCATATCTTTCTCTATTTCTCTGCGTAATGTGTTCCTTGACCTTCCTCTTTTCCTTTTGCCTTGAGGGTTCCATATGAGGGCTTGTCTTTTGACGCAACCAGGTCCTAAAACTGCATAATTAGAAACTTCAATTCAGTGAAGTTGTATCAATTTTTATTTCATTCAAAAGTGAATTTTTAATTTTGATAATCAACGGAAAAAAAAAACATTTATTTATTTATTTACAGACAGAATATGAAGAATTAGAAGCAAAATGTCAAAAATTTGCTACAGATATGTTAGCACAAACTCGTAGTTCTGCTGAATTATCAATTGTTTTAAATCATAATACTGGAGCTGATGTATCCAATTGTCATGTGAATGAATTCAGTCAACAATCATTATTAACAGAAGATATCAGTGAGAGGATGCAATTGTCACGATTGAAATTAGCTATAAGATATGGACAAAAACAGGTATGTTGTACAGTAAGATAAATATTGAATATTTTCTTAATTTATTTAACAATTATACGAATAGGGTTATACAGTGAACAATAACTAGGATGTGACTAGACGATTCGGACTTCGCAGATGATCTGGCTCTTTTATCGCACACATAACAACAAATGCAAGAAAAGACGACCAGTGTGGCAGCAATCTCAGCAACAGCAGGTCTCAGCATACATAAAGGGAAAAGCAACATTAAAACATGCACCAACTAAATCACACTTGATGGAGAAGCCTTGGAGGAACGTTAACACATTTACACATCTTTGCAGCAACATCTACAAGCATGGTGGATCCGATGCAGATGTGAGGGCGCGGATTGGCAAAGCAAGGGCTATATTTCTACAATTGGAAAATATATGGAGCTCCAAACAAATATCAATCAACACTGAAACCAGGATTTTCAATACAAATGTCAAGACAGTTGTACTGTATGGAGCGGAAACTTGGAGAACTACGAAAGCCATCATCCAGAAGATATAAGTAATCATTAACAGTTGTCTACGCAAAACACTTCGTATTCGTTGACAAGGCACCAACGGTAACAACCTAGTGTGGTAGAGGGCTAACCAGATTCCAGCAGAGGAGGAAATCAGGAAGAAGTGGGGGAAGTGGATAGGATACACACTGCGAAAAGCCCCCAACTACGTCGCAGGAAAAGCCCTCACTTTGAACCTCCAAGGTTGACTGAAAATAAGAAGGCCAAGGAACACATTACGCCGAGAAATAGAAATAGGTTTGCGAGGAATAAACAAAATAAGGACAGAACTAAAAACGGAATTTTCGGACAGAGTCGGGTGTGAATAGGGTTACTTAAGTTATTGGTAATGAGCACCACTTTGAATCATTTTGACCTTGGTAAACTATATTTATTTGTCAGGTAGTCAATGAACTTTGGAATCTTATTTTTGGTATGAATATTATTGTCAATTGTTCACCACATTCTTAAGTCGATTTTTCAAAAGTTTCTGGGTTGTCATTGGATCATCTACCTAAATCATATCAAAGTGGTAGACAAAAGGCTTATGTTACTATGAAATATGAATCATGTATATGTCATGTTGCAGTCATGAAGATTGGAAACCAACAGAACAGAGCTTAGTAAGTAGTATGAAATAGTGAAATATATCTCAAAAATTTCGGTTACAATGATCAGTAGAAGATCCGTCAGATTAACTCCTTTGCAAAAGGGTTCAGTAAATTTACCTCCACATGTTACACTCTATTTTGTGTTAGATCATGTGATATTTTGAATAGTACATGCTAGATATTGTTAGGTATAGGTTAGTATAGGTATCATATTTGTTGGAAAACGTCAAGAAATGATATTAATCATCCCTCGTAGACATAGTTAAGTCTTTCAACATCTTAGTCACAAATGTAATTAGCATGTTACGTATCCCATATTACATCACAGGTTTAGCTTGAAGTAACTGAAGTAAAAAAGTGTTTTCTCTGCTTGACAGTAAACATTATTGGATCCGTTACGATATATAGAAAGTTAGCTTTTGCGCATTTTATTTTCATACAGCTACGATACTATACAGTATTGTAAGTTCTGTCAGACAGAGAACTCTCATTTGTTGACTAGATATACTTTCGAATTCCCTCTACCTCATCTATTCCAATTGTGTTATGATCTAATGAATAATTCAGTCGATTTATGTTATCATGTCATTTAAATAGGCTTATATGCATAGTTTCAAAAACGTTATCATCTTGACTCGACAATAACCACTGCTGATGAGTCCCATACCAGGACGAAATGGCCGTCCAGTGCTTCCAGGTTTCTAATGGTGGTGTAACAATGATTGATTGATGATTTCAAATGTTTAAAAAATAACCAAAGTAGAAAAAAGTAGAAAACTATCATTATCAAATAAGAGTGTGGTGCGAGCTACTTATAAGTAGTATATGACGTGAGTGTAAACGTAATGTCTGGCAGCAGGAGATAGGGGAAGATCAAGAAAGGAAGAGTGGGAACACAGTGGAATTTATATGAAACGCATCAATAGTGACAATGGATTGATGTTTCGCAACAGGAACAGTCCAGTTCAATATGATGAACTGATTGATGTTTTGCAAATGAACGATTTACGATATGGTTTTTCGAGTTTACTGAGTACCTCTGTAATTTTCGTTAAATACAATTCGGTTACCCCACCTGTGTTCTCGTTCACTGCAAGAGGACATATAATGAACTCCCATCTATCCATTCACAATTACATTAGTACTTTTCAAGATCAAACGCATACAGATTATTATTATTATTATTATTACTATTTGATAGGTTTAGATACAAACTAAGTATAGTTGTATCGTGGTTTGTACTTTAATGACAAGATAAAGATTGAAAGGGATATTAAACACTATCAGGAACACGCATTTGATGAATGTTGTTATTTGAGAACTCAAGTTTATAATGTCAACTCTTTTGATGATTTTATTATTATTGAAAATGTAATATTTTATGCGTTTTTATAGTGAATGGGTTAAGCCCAATGATGATTAGTTGTTAAACTATATCATTTTTTCCTTTCCTGGAGATAATATTATATGATCTTAAGGTTTTATTTATAAGAGCTGGATAGTCATTATTAAAATACACGCATTTGAATACAGTACCAATAATGGGTACTTGTCATATTCCATGTTTTTAAATGGAGAGCGAATTGAATAAGATATTTTAAGAAAAAATGAGTGAGAGCAAAACATACACTGACGACCTTGAGCGACCTATCAGCCAATCAGGTTATGATGCCTAGTCACAAATCAATTAACAGCATTATGCAATAATATCATAATGACATGATAGATTTGACCTGAATAGTTAGTTAACCCCTTCATATTATCGTATTATTCCTTATAGTAAAAACAAAGGTGAAGTTTTTTACATACTGAAAGTCGAACTTGTTTTATGAGTTATGGGTTATCGTGGCAAAGAGTTTCGTCATCAACTGACAACAGCCAAACGTTCACACAAGATACAAGGAGAGTTTTCTTGATTATGATTAGGGTTAGCTCAATACGATTTATCATGCCTAATTGATACACTGGTCAACGTATTCTCGCAGCTGGACCATTTGAATCATTGAGATTTCAAAGACTACGGTGCCTATTACTTTCAAGTATTTCTGTATAATCACTGACTTGTCAGTTTATCGAAGTTCTACGATATTAAATATTCTATAGTTCAGATTACAGTTTAAGCTTACTTTTAGATAGCCATGGGAAATGAAGAAGTATAGTGTATAGTTGTTTCTTCTTGATATCAGACTCCTTAACAATTCTCTGTGTCAGAGAACAAACAAGAAACATCCTCAAAGAAAAACTAATAAGGATTTCAAAGCCATTCACAGGAGAAAACGCAGACAGCTCCTTGAGACGCCTCCAAACTCTGATTCTTCACCACACTGGAGTCATCACTCAAAACAGCCGAATTAAATAGCGAAACTTAACAAGATATAAGACAAACTATAGTTCCACTAACTTGACGAAGGAGAGACAGCACCCGACTAACAACACCAGAACGAAAAGCCTTAAGAAAACTCAGAATTCCTCAACAATACTCACTCATAACTTGACTGACGTTAAGCTTAGGGTTGAGGATTGAATGTGTAAATCATTGTAGGCAGGTCCAGTAATCTAAAGGGGTTATATGGTTAACATGATATTGTAAGTTCTTTGATTCTATCCCTGGTACAATTTTCCATATGCACAGCTGAGCTATCCCATACTAGAACGAAACGGCTATCTACTACTTCTTGATTGTTACTTCATGATATAAACCAATAATATTCAACGACAATCTCCACTAACTTCTTATAGTGTAGTGAAGGAGAACACAGGTGAGGACAACCGAATTGTATTTAACGAAAATTACAGAGTTACTCAGTAAAATAGGAAAACCATATCGTAACCGTTAATTTGCAAATCTTCAATCCATCATCAATCCATTGTCTGACATTTCACTTATTCATGCGTTTCATACAAATTCCATTGTGTTCCCACTCTTCCTTTCTCTTGATCTTCCCCCATCTTCTGCTACTAGACATTACGTTGACACTCGCGTCATATACTACTTATAAGT